TTGTATAAAACTTGATATATTATGAATTTCTTTTAATATTACTCTTTTTTTTTGGCTATTTTTCTTCAGTTTAATTTCTTCTCTATATACTTCTTGTTAGCTATATTCTTTATACAAGTTTTCTTGATTTTTTTCTCAAATCTCTACTTCTGCAAGATTTTTTTCCTTTTTAATAATATGACTAATTTTATTTTCTTTGTCTTCTTTACTTTTTTCTTTTATAAGTACTCATTCTTTCTTTCTTTTATCAGATAAGATTTTCTTTTTAGTTTCTTGTACTTAAAATCCTCTTCTTTTTCAGTACTTCTCTTTTACTTCTCTTGATTTCTTGTCTTCTAAAATTTCATTTTCTAAGGTTTAGAACTATTTTACTTTTTTTCTGATATATCTCTTTCCTTCTTTTATTTTGAGTTATCTCTAAATAATCATTCTTTTTTGTTCATTATCTAATAGCTAATTTACATGCTATAAATTGAGCTTACTTATACTTTCTTGCACTTCTTATATGTTATATTTATTAAGAATGCTACTAATAAGACAATTTTTTCTCTTGCATATTTATTAGGTTCCAACCTGCTATAAGGTTATTTTTTATGATACTTAGACCAAATTTTTTTGCATATTGCATTATTGTAGCTTCTAAATTTCTATTCTTAGTTTTTTTTTAGCTTATATTTTCTGCAGTAAGTATATACTCTGACATATTCATATTTAGTTGAGACTGTTTTAATCTTATTAACATAGTTATATCTAAAATACTATTTGTATTCATTTGTATAAAGAGTTCTGATATATGATATTCTATGTATTTTTGCTATAGGCTTACTACTTCAAATATATCTCTATGCCAAAGAGTTGCATTCACATATGTAGATAGGAGTTCCAATTTCTATTTGATTAGTCTAAGCATAAGCTAATATATAGTATCACATAAGTTTTTCTTCATACAAATATTTGCAAGCAAATATTTGAGTTTTAGGAGCAGTATCATATTGTTTATATATATTATCTGACTTGCTAAAAGTTTTTTTTTTTTTTTTTTTTGTTATTAAGGCGGCTTACATTGCCGAAGGAATTTTATTAGAATTGCATACGGGATATACATTGATAGTCCCTACTGTTTGTAATTACATGAAGAGTGTACAACAAGCCACATGTACAACTTTAGTCATTGTCTAATTTAAGTAGTCTGCTGCATAGACGATTAGACTACTCGATTGGTTCTACACTATGCTGCCATACCTGTAATCTGCCTGTGAGTTATCTATTTAAACACTCTATTCATTAACCTATACAGATCCAACCTAATGTTACCTAATACCTAACTACTTAAGCTAGCTAGCTCGTTATGGATCCATTTATCTAGAACGGCTTAGGTCTTCTCAGGATACATTGTACCTAACACATTGTAGATACCGCAGAGCCAGTTAACCTCGAAGCATACCTACTAGAGTGGTCTGTACCTATTTTACAGATTTATCTAGCTTAGACCCTTGTAGATGTTCGTACAACCTCAGTTCCTACTGTGGCTCTTCACTAGTTTTCTGTATCTATTTTCTTGGATGTTTCACAAGGCAGATCCTCCCAATCCAGTTAGCTGCCAAGCCAGGTTGGTGTTATCGATCATCCTTGTAGAACGGATTTATATGCACCTGACTTGATCTGCATCTTTCGTCGATAGTTTTCTTTCTGGATCAAGCATTAGCCAGTGTGACCATCAAAAGCTATACTACTTCACCAACTCAGCATTTCTACCATGCAGGTCCCCTGCCTGTAGATTCTATCAAGATTTATTCGTATAATATTATGTCTCACCAAACGCCTCGTCATACTTCCAATATCTGGATGATATTGATACAACGTGATTTACAGGGTTACAACTCCAGAAACGAACAGGGTTTACTGTAAGTTGGGTACAAAAGTCCGGATAATTATTCAAATTCGTCGACAGTAGGATTTGAACCCCAGACCTCTTGTATGGTAGTCTGGCAATCTAACCACTACACTAAGATCGCCAGACCTGCTAAAAATTTTTTGTATTTTAATATACAAATAAGTTTTTTTACTTTTTTTTTGCAATGTAGATACTTGTTCTCTCTTGTTTTCTTAAACTTATCTAAACACTAAGGAACTTTGTACTTTCTTCTAGTTTTTTGACCTTAATTTGGTTTGAAAATATTCCAATTTGTATGTATTTGTCTTTTTTCTCTTGTTTGTATAGTCTCTAAGCAATTGCTTCAGATTTTGCTCCATTTATCTTAATATCATTCAGCATAAAAAAGCTGTTTGATACTTATATATTTTTTTGCAATACATGCTAAGACTCCACTACCCATGTAGTATTATCTGCATATGCTAGCACAGAAATCATAGCTTTTTCTGTTTTGTATGTTCATTTTTTGATATCTGTTAGCTACTGTAGCTCTATTTAGTACTCAATTTCTAGCTGCTGAATCTTTACTAGCAATAGATCATAAAATATTTTCCACATTAGTAGAAAAATTACTTTATCTTAATCTATTCTATCTCTAGCTATGAAGAAATCTGTAGAGCCTTTATCTGTTATCACTCTTATTTTATGATCTTGATACAATTGCTTAATAAAAGTAATTAGATTCTCAAGAAGTTTGATTCTCTTCATAGAGAGTTCTAAGGCATGCATGCTAACTGAATTAAAAGCTTTTTGTATATTCTGAAAAGCTATTCAGAGCTCTTTTTTTTTTTGAATTGCACCTTCGATAATATTATTCAAGATATATATAGGTGCTATAGTGCTTTTATTCAGTAGTCCTGCAAAATTAGCTTCCTTCAAGATTTGCTTTTCAATGAAGATCTTGTTTAGTCTTCTTTAGACTATTCTGATTGCAAGTTTTCTAAAAATCTTGAGTAGCATTATCAGTCTAGTGCTAGTCAAATTAAATTCCTAATCTGTACTCTTAGAAATTAGGTATATTTGCTCTAGCTTCTATTTTTTAGAAAATCTTCTTTTGTAGACAACTTTGTTTACGAAATTTATCAAGTATTCTTTTACCTTAAAGCTTACTTTTTAAATGAGTCTGTAGCTAATATCTGAGATCCTGAGTACTATATCTTCTTTTAGCATATTTGTGACTTCTGACTATTCTTCTTTTATTATTTTATCTATAACTTCTATATACCAAGCTTCATTAATTCTCTCTTGTTTTTTATAGATATTGGCCTATTCTTAATCTATTTGCTCAAATTGATGTTTTTACTTTCTGAATTGTTTTTTGAAATGCCTTTCTACTTCACTTTTAATATTATTACTCTCTGTAACTAACTTTTTGCTTTCGAACTTATTTTTGTCTTAGACTAAAACTCTGTCAACTATGATCTTGTTATAAGAATGCTCAAGCAATTTTGTTTAACATTTGCTTTTGGCTTTTAGACATTAATGCAAATCTTTCTTCTATTTTTTCTTTTATTTTTTTTTCTTTTGTAGCTTGTATTTCCTTCTGAGCTTCTTCTTTTAGTATATTCTACTACTCTTTAATTTTAATACAGTATTCTTTGTTCTAGAATTCTAGTAGGGATGAGATGTTAGTCTTGTACTCTGTATTAAGATACTTTATTTGTATATCTAGAATTGCGCTCTCAAGTCTGTCTATACTTTGTTCTATATTCTTAGATTCTTTTCTAAATATTCTTCCTAGAACTTTGGCTCTGCTATATATTAATGATTTTGTAGCTTCCTCTCTGATTTAATTTTTCAAGTTTTGTGTTTTTGTTAAAAAGATATATTTGCTTACTATTGCTTAAATTGCCTTGGCTATTATTTCTCACTTCTTGTTGATAACTGTTTTAAGCTCTATCTCTTTTTGGTTTCTTTTCTTCTTTTCTTTTTTCTGTATTTCAGATGATTTTTTCTACTTCTTGACTATAGTTACTCCAATTCTTCTATTGCTTTGTGATATTGGTATAGCCTTCTTGTTTCTTTTTGTTTTTTTTTACTTCTCTGCTTGTTCTTTTTCAAGATATCTGCATTATTTAATTGTAACTAGACTATTCTATAGTTACTATTTGTTACTGTTTCTATTTGTTCTATATTGCTATCTAAGTTAAGGTTCCTTATATTCTGCATTGTCCAAATATAATTTATTCTAGTTAATACATTATTATTTGACTACGAGTATTTAATTAGCTCTGAGTTACAAATCAAAAGATTTCTATGTAGTCAGTATTTTTTAGCCATTTTGTGATTCTCATGCTAGTATCTGTATTTCTCCTTCCTTTGCTACTCATATTTAGTCTTTCACTTAATATCAGTTATACAATTTGTTATATCAAAATTTTTATCATATGATTTTCATAAATTACACAAATTGACAAATTTACATTTTAGAGTTTATTGCTTAAAACCTAAGTCAGAATATATAACTTTTCTTAAAACAAAATTGTAGTTTGAATTCTTATGAATCTAACTATATAAAAAATATAAAACACAGATCTCTTTTAATAAAGTATTATACTTTTAAAAATAGATATTATTTTTTTTACTTCTTCGAGATTTTCTCAAGTTTACAAATTCTCAACTTGACAAATAGTTGTATAGGTACATCAAACCAAGAGCTTTCACTAAAATGTATATGCAAAAGGCTATTACATTATAGGTATAAGGGAAAAAATCAAGAAAAACTAATTTATAGTAAGTAGATTACTTACTAATTCAGGTTTTTTGCTTTAAACTTTTTTTTTTAAAAAGTTTTGATAGTTTAAGTATATTCGCTTACTACATTTTAATTTTTCTTCAAAATTTAAAAAACATTTTTAGCACTTGATAATTTGACTTGAGATAACAGATAAGTAATTTAATCATTATTAAATAATTGTTTATTTAACTATTCAAGTTTATAAATACCCGATTTGCTAAAAATGAAACCTTTTTTTTTTAGGATATTCTTAAGTATATAACTTGCTAGTAATTTGAATTGTTACAATTATTTGAAGTAATCTTTATAGAGAATTCATTTTATATAAGCATGCCAAGAGAAAAATCTGTAAATCTCATAGGTAAGATTTGTGAGTTTTCTCTTAGTAGCACTCCTATTTTAGTTAATCAAAAGGAGATATGATTCATGCTTTGATACTTGTTTAAGTAGGATGTTTGAAAACACTTTATAGCTAGACTATTTGTCATATCGAATTAATTTTATATATCAAATTGATATCTAATATATTGTATAATGATAATTTATAATTTAAATTTTTAATAAAAAATTTTTTAGAATTAATTCACTAGAAAGCGTATTTATTATTTCAGTACTGATAATATTTGACAAGCAGAATTTAATTAATATTTTAAAATAAAATTATTTTATTACAGAAAAATGAGAAAACAGGTAGATATTTAAAATATATCAGTTAAGTTATTCACTCATATCTTCATTTTCTTCAGATTGATTAGTTTTTCATTTTTTTTCTTTCTTTTTTCATTGTTTTAAAGCTACTACAGTATCTTTATTTAAATTTTTAACTACTCTTCCTTTTGAATTCTTTTTTTTAGTTAAATAAACTTCTTGTGCAAATAGATTTTCTATATATTCTATTCTGTGTTAATAACAAGTTTCTATATTAGTGTATCCTTTTGAAGTATTTTGCATTGTGTATTCAAAAAGAAAATGACTTTTTGGATCTAGATTTTGAAATGCACTATATATTTGATCGTTTAAAATCTATAATTGCTTATATTAATTTAATACAATACAGTCATTAATATCGATATTTATTATATTGTCAATAAATTCTTTAAGAACAGATAATTGCTCAATTTCATCCTAACTTCTTTTTATTTGTCAATGTAAGTTTTTTTCATCTCCAAATTTTCTTGTTATTGCTTGTTTAACAGACTTAATACCTATGTTTCTAATACTTTATCATATACTAGATAATATTCTTTACGTATAATATTAATAGATAGTACTTGAATTAGTCTTTCTTAAAGCTGAGTATTTTTATGCAATCTTTCTAAAAAATAGCGACTAATTCTGCATATCTAAACTTGCTAGTAACTAGGAAAAGTAGTACAAATATGACAAGACATACAATTTGCAAATCAAAATCTCCTCTTCGAATGCCAATTTTATATGCTTTCTAATAACTAGTTTACTGATAGAAATTTAACCAAACTTTTAAAATATTATTAGAACTATTTTTAATATTATCAATAGTTTTTTTTGTATTTTGTAAATGACAGTGAATTGCAATTCTAACTGCTACTCAGATTAATTTAAGAAATATACAAATCACATGATAATCTAACCCTTTTTCTAAATTTTCTAAATATCGAACACCAAGTAGTGTCACTATATTGAAAATTTCATATTCAGAAAAAGCTGTAATTAAAGCTTGGCACATATCTTTTGAAGTATACCACTATTTAAGAATAATATTAATATTAAGATTGTTATTTTCATAGTTTTTAAGTCTTTGAAAAATAGCTTTATCATATGTAATGTCAACAGTAGTAGTTTCTGTATTTGCTATATCATTTAAAAACATATCACATGCTTTGTATACATTTTTATTAGAATTTGGCACTGGTCTATAATTTAGAATTACTATCTTTGGCTTATTAAATTTGCATCAGATTTGAATATTTTTAATAACTTTCAGATGAATATCATTAATATCAAATTTATTTGTTTTTTCTAAAAGTAACTCTTCAAAAATTTGATCATAAATTTTGTTTAGATTTTCTGTAACTGTTGATAATCCAATCATAACTTGATCAGATCATTTAGAAAAAAAGATTGAAGTAGCTTGCAAATTTGAAGAAAGCTTAAATTGAAATATAACCTACAGAGTAGCATGTGTAGTATTTCATATAGCATCATAAATATTTTTATATGTAAATATTTTTTTTTATATCTATATTATCAATAACTAACAGATTATAAATATTATTTTTAGCTTCAAGTCAGTTTGCAGGATTAGAACATTCTATATGCCATTTTTCAGTGTAAACTTCATTATTCTATACATAAGAAATTATATATACGAAGTGAAGAATTTTATGAAGTTTTGAAATCATATGTGGATGTCTACAAAGTGAATTCAAGATATGAGATAACCAAATTTTCTATCTGCGAAAGGCAATTTCTACTATAATTGATGCTAAAAAAATTGTGTTTTGTTAATTAATGTTAAGTCTAGTAGAATTGATAATAATCCATATAATTTTCTTTTCCATTCTGCAATTTCATGTTTCTTTTTAAAAAAAACTATAATAAGGCTACTAAAAAAAGACCACAGAGTTCAGAGCAATACTAAAGCATATTGTTCAAGTGAATATGGATTTTCTAAGATTAGTAAATTGTCTTTAAGCAATATACAAGATTGCCATAAAGATTCTTTAAAAAGATTTCTGAAGTATGCACATTCTTTCTCTTTTTAAATTGCTGTATTTGCTTTAATACTCAAATCTATTTTTGCTAATTTAAATACTATTTGAATCATTAATAAAGTTAGTAGAACTGGTTTATTAAATAAATCTATCTAACTATGAATCAAATCTTTTAGCAGATACAATTTTATTGACTCAATTGCTAGCAATAATAACTAGAT